CCCCAAACCCCCAAAACCCCAAAACCCCAAAACCCCAATTTAGATTTATATAATTGAAATCAATATGTTAGCTAATCGGATGCTTAATATCACCAGAATTCTTCCCAAAACAGGGATGAGGTCAGCCAATCATTTTCATACCGTTACAAGAGCAAAAACTGTTAAGCCAACCTTCAGAGATCCAAATCAAACCTTCATGTTTAACTCTTCATTATTCAGATTTGAAAGAAGAGGATTTTTGAAAGATGAATATAAACAGAAAATGAAACAATTTGCCAAAAGCACAACTGAGAATGCTAAGAAGATAGGAAATAAAGTTTATGAGAATATGCCTGATAAGGAAACTACTAAATCTACCCTAAAATCTGCTTCACAAGGTACCTTCCTTATTATAACTCCTATAGTAACTTCCAAAGCTGGAAAGCAGGTTTTTAATAAGCTCAGTGAGCTTGCTAAGAACCAGAAGGAGAATATATCCTCTTATGAACAGAAGCAATCTGGCACTTCATCTCCTAATCAAGAGACTAAGAGGAGCTCAGCTTCTTCTGGATCTAGGAAAGATACTTCTAGTCAACAAAAATCTGGAGGATTTTTCAACACTAAAAAGGAGGACATTCACAGTCTTCCAGGGAAAGTATCCTTCCTGGGTAAATTCTTCGCTTTTGTTGCCAAAACAATTGCTAGGGTCACAAAGTGGTTCTCTCGTAAGATCTTCGGAAGGCTTTTTACATCCGCTAGTTCAGGGATATTCAGAGCTTTCAAGGACAGGATAGTCACTAAAGCCCTGCTGTTGCTAGGAGGTCTCATCTCTTTAGTCGTAAGTCAGCCTTCAGGCTGGGATTTCTAGAAGCCTCAGCCATGATTCTGATTGAGGTTTGGTTTGACAATTTAGAAAACTAAACTTATTTCCCTTTAGGTGGCCTATAAGAGCTTAAAGAAATATGTTAAAGGCAGAAAATTCAGGAAGAAAGGTAAGCTATCTTAGAACTTCATGAGGCAGTCACGATGATTTATAGACCAAGAAATCGAAGAGCTGAAGAATGAGATAAGAGTCATGAAGGATGAGCTCAATAGTGAAATAAAATATCTCAGACAAATTAGGGAAAAGAAAGGCTAATTTGAGTCCAGATATGTTAGAGTAAATACTTGGAATGATATCTAAATCCTTCAAAGGAATAAATGGTGGAGATTCAATATTAATTTAGAATATCGGGGTTTTGGGGTTTTGGGGTTTTGGGGTTTTGGGGTTTTGGGGTTTTGGGG